GCGGAAGAGGGGATGCCGTTGCTAGCCAACACGCGCTCCCCATCGCAGAGTGCACAACATGGGCTGGGGAGATTATCCTTCGAAATAGCCACATGCTTGCCAGAGAGGAATGTAATATCCTCAGTCTCTCCTCTGTGCTATTGCTGTTTTATCTCCAGCTCCACAAGCAGGTCCCTACTCTCTTTCTCCTGCATACTGCCTACCCCTTCTACAGCAGTCTTTTGTGTGGCAGTCAGCTAACGGCCAGAGATGTTTCCTATCACAGCTCAGGCAATCACAGTGCAGGTCTAGGACCTAATTAATTATGGGCCCAGTATGGAAACAAGCTACTCTGTGGTTCCTGAGTCACTTTCAGTAAATCATGATCTGGCAAGCGAGAGAGTTGCCAAGGTGTTTTGTCTTGTGTAAATTGCATCTCATTTTGAGCAAGAGATCTGCATCTCTTCCAGGACTGCTCTGTAGGGAGAGGCAGAAATAAATCCAAAATTGTTATTAGCAGAACTGGGGCCGGTTCAATTGTATGCGCACATGCATACATGCATACGCATCATCTTTCCTCCAGCCTCCGCCTTCTGCTGTCCATTTCTCAGTACAGGCAATCAGAGATTGTTCGGGGATTAGGGAAAAGTATCATTTATTTAATGATCATCATTAAAAAGAAAGGTTTCTGCTAACTACAGATAGGGAACCAGTCCATGGTCTCATCTGTAATCACTAGCTGCTATTGCAGAGCAGTGGCAGTGAGGACTGCATGGTCTGGCGGATAGCACAGAGGACTGGGAGATGAGACTATTGGGCTTCACGCCAATGTCTAGCCTGTGGCTTTGGGCAAGTGAATCAACCTTTTGGGGGCAGGTCTCAGCTGGCGTAAACCCCCGGAGCTTTGCTGGCTTCGGTGGAGCTGTGACAATTCATGCCAGCTGTGCTTCGGTGTCCCATGGGTCCTGCTTGCCTTGCAGCACAGCCACTCTAATATTGACTTAATTTCTAGGAGAATTGGGAGCTCAGTGATATTTGCACTGTGTGGTGATGTCCGCAGGTGAGGGGCAGGTGGAGATTTGTCAAGCATGCTCCAAGGAGGGGAGATCTCCCTGTTTCTGCTGGGAAGGGTGCTGGGGGGGCAGAGGGGGGATTTGGGGG